CTGAGGGGAGACCTCATTGCCCTCTACAACTCCCTGAAAGGAGGGTGTAGAGAGGCAGGTGTTGGCCTCTTCTCCCAAAGGACGAACGACAAGCCCAGAGGAAATGGTCTGAAGTTGGGGCAGGGGAGATTTAGATTAGATATTAGAAAGAATGACTTTCCTGAGAGAGTGGTCAGGCACTGGACCAGCCTGCCCAGGGAGGTGGTGGAGTCACCATCCCTGGAGGGATTTAAGAAACGTGTAGACATGGCTCTTCAGGGCATGCTCTAGTGCCCAAGGTTATTGGTTTATGGCGAGGTGTTTGGTGTGGGGTTTAGTTGGTGGGTGCGGTGGTTTTGTTTTGGTGGGCGTTTGGTGTGGTGTGTTTTTTTGGGTTTTTTTTGGGTTTTTGTGGGGTTTTTTTTTGTTTGTTTGTTTGTTTTTTGTGGTTGGACTCGATGATCTCAGAGGTCCCTTCCAACCACTAAGATTCTGTGATAAAATTTTCTGTGATAAACAGATGGTCTGGTGCATACGCTGGTGGAATTTCTCACACATTTCCTCTTCTGACAGTCTGAAGGAGCTGAATCTGGACAAAAACAGGATTTCGGCTGTCCCTTACCTGCACCAAGCAGAGAGCAGGCAGTTCTTCCTCCACCCTGCTCTGGATGGTGACAGCTTCAGGGCAGAGTGGTACAAATCCCTGAGCAGGCTCTGGCAGCAATCCCAGCTGCCGAAGCAGGAGGACACAAAGGTGCCAGCAGAGCTGGAAGAGAAGAAAGGACAGCTTGGACGTGTCGTGCTACAGAACAACAGGGATCCAGGCAGGACGGGTGAGCGGCGCCTGCTTCTTCCTGCCCACACCGAAACCGTGGGGCTCAGCTATGGCAGGGTGAGGATCTGCTGGACCTCACTAGTGAGTGAAGCATCTTGACAAAATGAAAACAGTGAGGGAGGGATACACAAAAACCATTTTAGACATCTGAGCTAACCTGTACAGGAGCTTACTGGCCATGAATCACCCTGAAGTAGACATCTGTTGTGGTTCAAACAGAAGTGCCCCTTGCTCTCACCTGGAGTGAGTCCAGAAGAGGCCACGAAGATGCTGGGAGGGCTGTGAGGACAGGCTGAGAGAGTTGGGGGGTTCAGCCTGGAGAAGAAAAGGCTCTG